GAGGATTTATGGAAATAACAGAAACAAGAACATCAGAATATTGTATTTCCACCTTTCACTGCAGCTACTCCTACAAGCCTACAAGGATTAGTATTTTAGATTATTTTTTTATTTTATTCATTGTTGCATTTTTCAAATTTTTGTTTTGCGTCTCATTTCTGTTTTTTTTAGTCTCATTTTTGTGTTTGCAGAACCTTTGAATTTCCTATAAAAAAAACATATTTACACAGGCTGCACGGTGGACCGGTGTGTAGCTCTGTTGCCTTGCAGCAATAAGGTCCTGGGTTCGATTCCCGACCCAGCATCTTTCTGCATGGAGTGTGCATGGTCTTCCAGTGCATGTGTGCGTTATCTCAGGGTACTCTGGCTTTGGTCCACAGTCAAAAAACATTACTGAGAGGTTAACGGGCATCTCTAAATTGTCTTTAGGTGTGAATGTGTGCTTAGTGAATGTCTCTGTGTTGTCCTGCTACAGACTGGCGACCTGTCCAGGTTGACCCGCCTCTCGCCCATAGACAGATAGGCACCTGTAGTCTAGGCTGTTATAATCCATGTAGTGCATATGTAAAGAGATAACACTAAAACAGCAATTTTTCTCCCTGCTGTTTTATTGAGGTATGATGATGATCCCTCTATATTTGGAGGTGTGCCTTCATTAGGACTTCTCAACCAGCTGAATGCTTCAAATTAGAGCTGCTATAGCTACTAAAAAAGCCCTTCATCAGTGGTTAAGCTTAGTTATTCTTTGCATATTCCTTTATTTTAACATCATGCTTCTTTCATTAATTTTAGCACTGCCCTGTACTGTGTTATTATTCGTCCATTTTCCTTCTCTGGACAAAAATCAATAAATAAATGATTTCCCCTATAGGCTAAAATTGGTCGGTCCATTGTAATCTTGATTTAATCCAGAATTAATTGTTGAAAATTGGGCTGTTTTTAGTCGTTCTGATTTTCTCCCACTTTAGTCCAATAACAGATGTTAAAAACTGGGTTTTCATCGTCCTTTAAAAACTCTCAAGCTTTGGAATTTTCTGTAATGACCTATAATTAAACTGGTATAAAAAACATTTTCAAGATCTTACCTAAATTAGGAGATTCTGTATTTATGCAGCATATTCCAATTAGTATTATATTAACATCCAAAAGGTCCAAATGGTCGATGTAAGAACGCAGCCTTTGCTTTTATGAAATTATCTTTAGCAATTAATGACAATTGATTCAGATTTAAACATTTTAATTTTTAACACAGGCCAATTTTTCACAAAAAGCTTCTTTTTTTTTACTCCTATTTCGGCTGAAATATGATGAAGTAGTGCTGCTCTTGCTTGAGTACCAGTAAATCCCAAACAGACCAGATATTCACAGACTCATGGGTGGATCTAGAGGGCAATCCCTGGCCACTCACACCAGGTGGTTTGTTGTTCAATCTGGGATGTGATCCGATAACACTGGAACAAGCAGTTCTCTGCAAAGCCTGATGGTGGCAGCAGTGATACCATCATCTGGAACATCTTACATTAAAGGTGTAGTGGAGAATTTTCACAAAATTTTTGAAAACACTTGAAAAGAGTCTCCTCCGTCATCCATTTTTTATTTAGAGGAGGAAAGCGGGGATGAAGATGTTGTG